TCTCCACTTGTGTGCCACGCTGCCAGGTCATCACCACATCCACAGACCTTGCCGCCTTGCTCTGCGCTCCCTCACACAGCCTCTGGCCCCACCAGTTGGCAGAATACACGCAGGCTGACCTGCTGCTCGGGCTGCCAGGAGGAGTGGATGGCAGCTGAGATCTGCCTGTCCTCTCCTCGGTGACGACACTTGCTTTTTTCTCCTCTACCAAAAAGCTGAGTTTCACGATTGGTTTTTTAAATCCCCGAGATTCTTACCTTCCTGTCAGTTTGGCTGATATCGCTCATCAGTTCAGAAAGTTAATATGAGAGCACAGACAGGCAGTTGAACAGGCAGATGTGAGCACAAAGGTAATTCAATAACAATAAACTGCACTTCCTTAGAAAACAAGCCTAAAATTTATAGTCCAATGACAGCAAAGCTGTAATTTATCTTCAACAGTAGCTAAGGAGGAAACAGGAGGGTCTACTGCTTTTTTGAAAGCTATTTCTAGGTATATTAGTGACTGATTGCACTTTGCATTATAACAGCTGGGTGTCTTAATTTGTTATGTCAAGTGTTTGTTAGTTCTCTAATTATGACACCATGCTCCACAATGTGATACTCTTACATATTTTTTATATGTCATACAATGTATAATTGCATTTCCTTATGCTCACCGTGACTTTCCCAAAACTGATACAACATCTTATGGGGTAATCTATAATCAGTTAATGAATACTAAATAAACAAAACAAACTTAGAAGATTAAAGCATGCCAGGTATCCTGTTTTTAAAACAGAAACTATCTAGCCTTTGTGCTGATGCATAATATATGCAGTTCAGAAAATACAGAATCAAGTCTGGTAAGTCCCTGAGTTACTAGACACTGCTTTATGCTTTGGGGATCTATGCAAACACTGTGTGGGATGGCAAAGGGAACTGAAAGGAGGAGGAATACAGGAGGGAGTATGGCAGAATTTCACAACACTCTGTAAGGGAATGTCAGCTTTAATGCTTCTGCCCTTGGACGCTGTAGGGGACTGTTTTGAATGTCATACCTGGGCACAGGCCCTTCCTCTAGCCCAAACATTATCATGTCCATGGTATGTGAATGCAGCCTTGTGTTGAGGATACGTGACCTTATCCCAGGGGTAAGCTGATGCGTTCTGCATGCCTGTGTGTATACACGTCGTAAGGCAACCCCCAAGGGTAGCTGTAGTTACCACACAGATATACAGCATCATAAATTACGTTTGCTTTTACAGAAACATCAGCTGACTTTGCCATTCTTCTTTACGTGCATGCCTCTGTTGAGTCTGAATTTATCTCAGAACAAAGTCTACATACGTCCTGGAGCTGAACAGGATGTGTCCTGTATCCAGATTATATAGAAAATTGAAACAAGGTAAAGCAGCAGACTAGATTAGCCAGCATATGTTTACTCATCTACCAACACACAGTATAAATATCACTCAATATCTCCTGATCATTTTCTAGGTAGCACAATCCAGTCTGGGGACACAAATGTTGGGTCTGTTGCACTTATGTCTGCAGGCACTATTTCCTCCTGTTCCAGCCCTCCCCTACCCAGGCTTTTTGCTATTACTTGCACAATGCTAGTATTATTTCAAATTAGAATGAACACACTTCAATATAAGGGTTCCTATCTGATTTTTTTTTGTATCTTGGTTTACACCACTGCAGTCAGTAACATTTATTTCCTTTTTTGTTCTCCTTTACACAAGTTATTGTTTCTCTATTTCGAGGACAAACTCAGCAAAATTATGTTAATTTCATATTCAAAACCATAACACTTTAGCTACCAAGATCTAATAAAAAGTCTTAGCTCAAGATGTGACCTCTTCTTTCAGCAAAAGTAAAAAATGTTAATTGATCCAAATGTTGCATAGCAGCTTTCAGCAATAACAAAGTAGTTCATGGCTGATTTGATATACAGAGGGAGAAAAAGGGAAGAAGCCTGAATAATGCTTAAATGCATTAGAGAATAAAAAATCTAAGCATGGGAAAAGTCATTCCGGATCACTTTCTTACTAGCAAACAAAGTGATGGCACTGATATAATTCAGTTCAATGGTCAATTTTGATGCTAATTTTTGTCAGTACTCAAATCCAAGGAACAGATTTGTTGAGAGAACACTGAATTCTTTTGAATAAGTAAAATGTAAAGATTTATGAATGCCAGTGTATACAGGAAAAGAGGATGGAATAGTAAAAATAGTAAGAATATCCAATAGATCATAAATAGATGTCACGATAAATTGATACAGATGTTTAAAAAAAAGAAAAACTCACAAAGATCAGAGAATAGTTTCATAATAAAATGCAGTAAGAGATAAGGGATAAAAACTTTATAAGTCTGTAATGCAAGTAGGAAATAAAGGGACAAAATATAAAGAGACATGACTAAATGGAAACCTAGAAACTCCATAGCCATTGTACTACAAAATCACTACTTTGGAAGGTCATGACACAGCCTTTTCATTATTTCAGTCACACTGATGTAACAAGCTGCCAAAAAATGATAATTATGCCACAGAGACAGAGGGCAGAACCTAAGCCCCAGTAGATGTTCAGGCTGAGTGGTATACAGTGTGGAAGCACCCACATTTCTGCCATGACACGTCAGCATCATCGTCTGAGCCAATCTGTGCCAACTGATCTTGGACTCAAGACCTTCTCATTCTGCATAAACACTGTAAACATACCCAGTCCAATCTTTACGTAAACATACCAAAAATACTGCTTCTCCTATTTGGAAATGGCTTTCCCATTCTTCCTTAATTTACAGATTTCTTTCCCAAGAGATCTTTCATTTTCTTTTGTTCATGGCTCACCTGCTTCCTATTTCTTTTTTTTTGCTGTTGAAGATCTAAATTTTGCCATCTTGCTTCATTCCTGAAGTTCAAATAGATAGCATCACATAAGATTTGCATAACTCACTGGCCTTAGAAGTTTTTCACTGTGGATTTGGATCTGTATTTTAGGTATCCTAAAGTTTTCTGACATTCATATCTAAAGGATTTGTGTAAGTGTGGCATAAGTCAAGTCGTCCTCTACATCTGAACTCTTTTTTTGAGGAAGTGAAACACTTTACTTTTAATTAGTGTTCTTTAGTTTTCCTTATGCTTCAAGATTGATTATCTTCTGTTCTGCATGTTCCAATAGAGGATGACAAAGAGGAATGTAACTTAATGTGGATAGTTGTTGATGAATACAGACAGGATACATGTACTTCTACCTAACAAATATCACTGAAACATGGTCGATGTAAGTTAGTACTGGCAGTAGTTGAAATAATTTTTGTATATAATTGTATGTAGAGATATAGGTGCCTAAAAACTCCATGAACTTTTCCAATCTCTGTTTTAAATCAAATACTGAAATGTTTAATTGATTGCTCAAGAAAAATCAAGTCAATTTATAGCACCACCAGAGGAATTTTCAATTCCTGGACCAATTAATAGTTTTCTCTCAACTAAACCCAGGACTATATTAGTGACATATGGTATTTTCAATTTTAATATATTATTTCTTCTACTTATAGTTAGACTAAATATAACTGAATACAACATGAAGACACTAGATTAAAATGTACTTCCCCTTAATAAACCCTTACTACAAACTGGGCTGGCAAATATATTGGAAAGGCAATCCCTGAAATAGAGTATTGAAAATGATTGGCCAAAGTAGCCTGTTTCTCAGTCAAATCTCCTCTGAGATTGATAAAATCAAGAAGAAAATATGAGAAATAAGGAAATCATTTCTATTTCCACATCTGTGTTCTAGCCCAGAATCAGGTAAGTTATAGAATTTGATGGAATAGTTAATGTAGTTTCTTGAAAAGCATTTGGAATCTAATTCATAAATTATTCATACATATTTTGCACGTTTTTTGCACATAAGCATACTTTATAGATGCATGATGCTATCTCCACAATTTAGTCTGTGAAGGTGTATTCACTAAAAAATTACCTTGATGCCTCTTCTGATTTCTAATCTGTTTGAAAGCCCCTGTGTTCAAAGATAAATAAGAAGAGATTTTCAGCTGTACACGCTGCAAAGTTAATTAGCAAATATTATCAAATGAATGTATCTGTCATGCGGTAGCAAACTAGTATGTATTTCAACTTTTTTTCATGTTTTGGAAAACCTTTACAATTAGTATTCTTTCAATAAAAGTTTATCAGAGGATTCCACAGTCAACAGGAATAATGACTTTGTTTAAAATATACTCCCTTATTCAGTGGTGAAATAGCAAAAGGATTTAAAAAAAGAAGTGGGCAAAAAATTAAACAAATAGTACTTAATACTGATGTGAAATGTAATGAGAGATGCTGAAGACATAAAATGAAATTTTTTTCATGGGGAAAAAAGCAAGGTTTTAAAAAGTATTTTGGAATAAAAAAGAAATTTGAAGAGTCACATAAGCCCACTTTAAAGATACAGACAGAAATATACTCATAGTGCAAAAGAAGTGCACAAAATATTCTCCCCATTTGTGCAGAAGAATGAAGGAATAACTATATCATATATGGAGGAAGAAGTAATTTCCATCCTATTAGCATCTAAGGAGGATGTTGAACCATCTATAAGCAGTTTAAAATATCAAAAGACTTGGCTAGTCTAGTTTCAAGGATTCTAACGAAGCAGACAGTGAAGATCTCTGACTTCCTTATGTTAATTTGTGCTTAAGTGTGAGACACTATTTTGTAATGACGAACATGAATAAGCAAGACAACCTGCTTGCCCCAGTAAAACATAGGTAGCTGGATGTCATTCCAGAGAAAAAGAAATTAAAAACTTTACAACAGATGTACTTTAATTTAAAGCTTTAAAAATATAGGTTCTATTCATTTTGGTCAAAAAGACTTTATGGAAAATAGGTCTTGGCAAACAAAACATTCAATTTTTTTGACAAGGAAATGAGCAGCTTGGCTGAGAAAGATAACTTCCTTTGCCTGCAATGCTAACTTAAGGGGTTGACTCTCTCCTCCTCACCCTCAGACTGTTGCAGAACTCTTCCAGCATCCCAGCTGCTGCTCCAGCACAGCCTGCAGAGCTGCCCTGCAAACAGGTTGAGAGATTTAATCTACAACCGAAATAACACCTTCCCCCTCATTTTTAAACTCTTCCACACTTCTTTCTCCAGTTCAATTATAGTTACATAAACCTTAATGAAAGTCATGGAGCCACAAGGCAAAGGTAGGAATGAGAGATTGAAGGTGAAAAAGGTCCACTTCTATGAGCTAAAATTGCCACGAAAGCATCCATGTCATGGAACTATCACCTAGATGATTTACAGCAACAATTTGTCATCATGAGGATTCATTATCAAATGGGGATCTTCTAAGAATTGTTCTACAGTCACTGGTACTAAGCCTGGTGCTTTGCAACACAATTTAATCAATAATATGTGAATAAATACACAATCAAATCTGATGTGTACAGCTTTAATCTCAATTATTTTTATGATATCAAAATATAGGAAGGATGCAGGGGAGAGGTATAAAAAAGGGATAAATTGGTGGAAAAAATTACAACTTAAGACAGGGAGCTCAATCTGTTGAACTCTTCAAAATAAAACTGATATATGACTTGATTGCATAAGGTAGAAATATCGAATGCAGAATACATTGAGTCATACAAACTGTAGAGCTTAACGTGAGAAAGAGAAAATTAAGTCTTCTTCCATTAATTGGTTCCATGTCTTGAACCACTCTGTAAATAAGTTATCAGCTGAACTGTAAAAATTAAAGGCTCCTTTTTACTCCTTCTTACTAACATTAGATTTACATTAGTATTTGCTTCAGTGACTTCTATGGAATTGTCAACATTGATGAATACCTGATAATCCAAATCTTCAGAAACAGGTCTATAGAAATTCCTGCTAAGATGTTAAGAAGAAAAGATACAAACGCCATCATAATTTGATGAACTGTTTTTCTTTTAAAAGGAAAAATTGCTTCTAAATATGGAATGTAAGTGCACCTGTTACATACACGAGCAACAAAAGCTCATGTAACCTTATTCAGTATTACATATCTTTCTTAATCAAGACAGAAATATTTTAATATTTTATAATTTCCCATAATACTGGTAATTACCACAAAAAAATTAAATAGATGGATGCCTCTATAAAAGTGTCAGTTTGAAGTTTTCTTTAGTCAGTGCTGCACAGCTGTGCTTTTCTAACTTTCTGATTGGCAAGCAATTACCATTCTCATCATCTCACGATATGACCAAACTGTTGTAATTTGGTTTGGTAATGCTAACAAACAAAATCTCATGAGTCATAGCCCTGTTTTTCTGAATGATCAGCCTAACAATTTCAGGAGGAACCCTTATCAACAGATGCTTCTATGGGTCCTCTCAGCCCATCTGCACCCTCCCTTGCACTGTTGTGGTCCTCTCTGGAGTCTGTGCTGAGGACATGTAAAGAAAAAAAGAAAAAAACATCAGAAAATGAATTTGACAATAAAAGGAGTCATTTTCGCTGGATTAGGGTGTTACACCAGATCACAGAGGAGCTCCATGTGCTCAAGAGGTGAGCAGTGGGAGCATGTGGGTACAAGCAGGGAAACAGTGGGAACAAAGTGAAAGGAATTGGCTAGGTCCCAGTTGGTCACAACAAGCTAAACTAAATCAGCCAAGACATTTAACTGCTGTTTCTTACACACATGCTATCCAGCTTTCTCTTTCTCCCATTCACAGAACCTGCCAAGCATTCTCTCTCAAGTTTGTAAACAGGCAACTTCTTGATCTGTCCAACTTACCTTCTGATCAGGTCAAGCATGGTTATGTGATCACTGAACTGGACAGAAATATTTTACAAACCTCATCACAGAAAAAAGCCTTATGTAGCTTCTTCCATTACACTGAATAATGGTGCTTAATACATACATATCCTTTAACTAGATTTACAAATTTGTAAATATTAGAGAACAATCTGATGGTTGTAATTACACTATTGCTCTTTATTACACTACAAGCTTTTCAAACCAGCATATATTGTCCACTACTTACCGACAGAAGAAACAGGATAGAAATGGAATGTCTCATATTTAAGATAGATTTGAGATTTTTTGGCTAATACAGCAATAAATTCACTGGATTTTTCATTTTCATATGATGTGCAATTATCTTAAATTGGAAGTATAAGCTAGGATCTGGTTCCAAATTATAAGAATCATAAGATACCATCAACTTACAACTGGTATCAAAATAAAGAAACAAGAAGAATATAATTCCAGAACTTCTTTTTTTTTATAACTCAAGACTCTCCCTGTATAAGCAACCATAGTAATATTTTTGTCCCTATCAACAATAGACTGATTAGACAGGACACATTATCTTTATTATCTACTTCCTTAATCATTCAATATCACCAAACCCGCTACCCCAATATTTTTAACTGTTTTCTTAGAATTAAATGAGTTGTATATTTTGTGTAAGAGCAACATATAAATAAATCTTTGTAAATGAAAAACATTTCCATACTCCTGGCGTAATCCCCTGACATTTGCACTCAGCATGATTCAGCAGCAGGAGACAACACCTACCCTCAATTTGCTCTCCATATACATAATTATACTAACACACAGTGATTTAACACTGTGAGACAAAATGATCCCAAGGGCTTTCCCTAGCTGGAGGCTTCCCTGTCCCCACAAAGGAGCTGAAGGCTCTGACTCTATAGTATGTGTTTTTATTTACTGTATATGTTCTTACTGATAACCTCAGAAGCAAGTTAGTCTCCATATTAAACTCCATCCATGCTGCCACAGCTATACTAGCAGTCCCATCTGAAACAGTTTAAAGCTGGTGCAGGTACCTTCCTGGCTAAACTGCAACAATTCTCTAACACCTGTGGACACAATTTAATTAGAAATCCACAGACTGTTCTACTTGTTCTCTAACATGGCAGAATTCTCTTGTTTATAAGCAGGGTGGAAGATATGTAAAAGGGTAAAATGTGAAAGAACACTGGTGGCATGTGAACAAGCTCGCCTGTTGGCTTTGAATCTCTTTTCTGCACTTTCTTCTTCCTTTCCACAGTGTTATGGTGGAAAATCTCTTACTTTTTTTGTTTGTTTGTTTGTTTGTTTTTGTTTGTTTGTTTTTTTTTTCCCCCTAGATTGCAGTGCCCTGATCACAACCGGATCCTCAACAGTGCTTATCAAAACACACACATCTACAGATATCGATATAGATCATTATTCACATACTGTAAACATTATAGAACTATTCATCCCTATGAATTCAGGGGATATCTGACAGAAAGGAAAAGCCAAAAAGCAGTCTGAGAGGGGCTGATTAGAGTGTCTCCTGTCCTTGAGTCTCGAAGACTACGATTATGAGTCATGCACTAATAAGAGACATAGATCTCAGTGTGGTCTCACTGGGACACTTGCCCAGGAATCTAAAGTCACAATATACATACACTATATGTAGGATACACTTCTTTTCACCATCAAACACTGTGAAACCTGGGCTGTAATCTGGCAACTCCTGTGACAGATTCATCAGGTCAGGAAAAAAAAGGACAAAACCTAATCCAGCTACAACCACTGAAAACTGAAGTCAACAGAGCACAATTATTCTACCTAGAACTGAGCAGGAGTGTAGAAACAGGTTCTCAAAGACATCAAAAAAGCCTTAATCTTCATAACTTCCAGGTCTCCTCTTCTCTATCTGCTCTAAAGATTAGTGGCAATAGTTTGAATCAAAACGTGACATCAGTTGAAGACTGAACCACAACTACATCAGGATTATAGCACACATTAAAATAAAGCAAAACTCCTTTCCTCCAGTATGCCAGAAATTCAGTCCAGTCTTTGGTCAAGAGTAGCTATGAAGATGTTTAGGTTCTCATATCCAAGACATACTAAAGTGAACCTTAAATTATTTATTTTGGTTTCTGTGATAGCGTGCTTCTTTTGCATCAGCATGAAACATCATTTATGACTTTAATATGCCCTATTCCATATATTTTACCCTATTTCACAGCACATGTATTCAAAGCAGGAATGTTTTAGAAAACACAGTGTTTAATTTCATAATAAAAATAAATATGCATTAAGATTTCAACCATGCTGCCAAGCAAAACTCCAGTCTATGCATAAAATTGTCTCACCTGACTTTTATCACAGCAACTGATGTAGATGAAATAATATTCCACTCATCCCTCAGCTCCTTACTTGTCTCCCCACTTCACACTTAACCTTCACAGAAAACCAAATGCCCTCACACCCTGCGTTTGCCTGGGCAAATGTGTGGACAGATTTACCTGTCTTTTGTAATGTTAGGGCCATTGACCCATCATTTAAGAAAAGTTTGAGGTTTCTTTAATTTAATTTTTGAAACAAAATTCAAATAGAAATTGGTGAATTTGGTCTGTGAGACACAAGGAAACCACCATCTGAAGCTCACTGAGATACGAAGACATACAGATTCCTTTCATTAAGGGTCATATTGAGGGTCACAGTGAAGTGCTAGCAATAATCTGTTGCTTCAGAGGCTTCCTCAAAATCGTATATGCTTTGCAAGAGAAAAATAAAGATTTATATATTATCTGCCTGGTGAAGATTAGAAGAACTATTTATTATAAGTCCTTTATGGAAGCATTAACCTTGCCACTAAAATCTGTTTAGATGGTTTGATAATTCCTTTCAGGAAACAAAACAAATTAACTGGGAAATATAAGTCAAATATAATTAAACAAATAATATTTTGATATGTTGTTATGTTAAAAGATATTACCCAAAGGCGAATTCTAAAGTTGTCCTTTTATTAACTGCCTAAGGACTCAAAAATATTAATGATACTTACAGTGATGTATACCTTTTACATTATGCAAATTTTAGACCTCAGCTCTAATCTCCTACTTAACACTGAGAATTGTTCTTGCCTGGGGTCCCTACCACTCAAACTTCAAGAGATTAAAAATAGCTCCCCAAACCATATAACTTTTCTTTGATATAAAACAACCGCAGCCTTTATGAAAAAGAAAAATGGTAGTAAGAAACTTGAAAAATAATGATGTTCCTCTGTTAAAAAAATGCCC